TATGTTATCCCACTCTAAACTTGCTCAAGAATTGTGGGTAGAAACAGCTTTTACAATAGCTTATTTGGTGAATAGATCTCCATGTGCACATATTGGTTTCAAGACTCCATAAGAGGTATACATTGGTTCTGTTCCTAATTATTTTGATTTATATGTGTTTGATGCACCTTGTTCTCTACATGTAAATAATGAGAAATTAGAACCTAGGTCTAAGAAGTGTTTCTTCTTGGGTTATCCTTTGGGAGTTAAGGGATACAAGGTCTTGGACTTTGTGATTAGCAGAGCATTTATTTCTCATGATGTCATTTTTTATGAAAATGCTATACTTAACCCTAATGTGGAGAATGGAGTTATTGATGTAGGTGTTGGCATAGAAAACGGTTCAAAATCAAAGGTGAAATTTTAATTAGACCTTGAACCTCAAAAGATGTCTAGTTCTCCTTTCCCTTCACAAGCTCAAGGTGGAGTAGAAGGCCATGATATTGATACAATCGACCATGAACAAAGAGACAATGAAGAAGAAATTTCACAAGATGAGCCCTATTCCATAACAAAGCATAGACCAAGTAGGGAGATTCGCAAGCCACAAAGATATACTAATGTGGCTAGTGAATGCTTGAATGATTATACTTTGGTGATGACATAAGAAATCGATTGTAATGGTGAGCCTTTTACCTACAAGGAAGCAGTGTCTTGTAAGAATTCTTCCAAGTGGTTGATAGCCATGTAAGAATAAGTGGAATCACTTCATAAGAACCACACATGGGAGTTGACCAAACCACCTTGGGGAAGAAGATAGTTAGTTGTAAATGCATCCTCACGTGGAAGGAATGTATCCCGGGTGTTAAAGATGCAAGGTATAAAGCACATTTAGTGGCAAAGGGATGCCAAATGAGAGGTGTTGATTTCAGTGATACTTTCTCTTCTGTTGTCAAGTATACTTTTGTTTGTGTCTTGTTTGCATTAGTTGCCATGCATGATTTAGAGCTTGAGCAATTAGATGTCAAAGTAACATTTTTGCATGGTGAGCTTGAAGAGAGTACTTACATAGAGCAATTAGAAGGTTTTGTAGTAAAGAGAAAAAGTGATCATGTTTGCTTGTTGAAAAAATCTCTTTATGGCCTAAAATAGTCTCCTAGACAGTGGTATAAAAGATTTAATTCTTTTATGGTGAGTCATGGTTATGATAAAAGCATGTATGATCAATGTGGCTATCTAAAACAGCTTGTTGATGGCACTTTTATTTATTTGTTACTTTATGTTGATAACATGTTGACTGTTGCCAAGAGAAAGGAAGACATTAACAAGTTAGAGAACGAGTTGAGTAGTGAGTTTGAATTAAAGGATTTGGGTCAAGCAAAAAGGTTCCTTGGTATAGAGATACATAGGGATAGGCATGGTGGAGCAATTAAGTTGTTTTCACAAAAGAAATTTGTTGAAAAAGTTCTTGAACATTTCAACATGAAAGATGTCAAACCTATGAGTACTCTTTTAGCATCTCATTTCAAACTGTTAGCACAGCTATGTCCTTGGTTAGATTAAGATCTTAAGTACATGTCTCATGTTCCATATTCTAATGCAATGAGTAGCATGATGTATGCTATGGTTTGTACCTAACCAGATATTTCACATGTAGTTAGTGTTATGAGCAAGTATATGTCTAATCTTGGTAAGGAACATTGGACAACAATGAAGTGGGCCTTAAGATACTTAAAAAGCACTACAAGAACTTGTCTTGAGTTCAATAAAGATGAGACATATGTGCAAGGCTATGTTGATTCAAACTATGCCGGTGATCTTGATAGGTAGAGGTCTTTGACAGGTTATGTTTTTACTCTTGGTGGTAGTGCTATCAGTTGGAAAGCTATTTTGCAAGGTACAATAACCTTGTCTACCATTGAAGCAAAGTACATGGTAATGACTAAGGCTTTTAAAGAGGCAATATAGTTGAGAGAACTTGTTGGGGAGCTTAGCTTGGATTGCGTTGTTATTGATGTGCATTGTGATAGCCAAAGTGCCATTTGTTTGGCTAAGGACTTCATCTTTTGTGAGAGAACAAAGCACATTGATGTGAGGTTTCATTTTGTTCGGGACATAGTCTCCTTTAGTAAGATTATTGTGAAGAAGATTGATATCGAAAACAATCCAACAAATATGTTGACAAAGTCCCTGCCAATGAGCAAGTTCAAGCATTGCTTGGACTTGCTTGGCATGATGTCATAACAGCCCTTTAGGGCATGGAGAAGGATTGAGCTAAGATAAAGTCACTATGAGAGATTTGATGAAGTTTAAGTCAAGGTGGAGATTTGTGAGGTATGCCTTGAAATCATGTTAAAGCCTTCTTAGTTGGCAGAAAGATTATGGAACTAGTCATGAAGGTTCATGAATCTAGTATTATACTAGAAAAATCCAACCTTTAAAAGCTCACCAATATGCTTTAGTGATGCTATGCATATTGGACTTTCTCTAGAATTACCAAACCATTCTTTTATACTCTTATAAATATAAAAGAGCCTTTTTGAGGGAAAACAGGTGTGAGAGTTAGATGCCAACCACCATAAAAGGAAATAAGGTGGTTCCTTTAGGATCAAAAGGGTTTTCTCGGGTAGAGTGAGTTTATGTGTACTGTGAGAACTCTTACTAGAGTGTGGTTTGAATGATTTAAGCTATTCAAATCTCTTGTAAAGCACTGATTTCACAGTGGATTTGATGTTATCCTTCTCCTGTGGATGTTTTTGCACTTAGATTTCTTCTTCATTGTTTCTGCTATGCATCTTGAATCAACTCACAATCTTCTCCAACTTTATTGATTTCATTCTTAACTATGATTAGAACAATCCTCGACTAACTCTACACCTTCAGCCATATAGACTTTTGCTGCCACATTTTTGTCATGTATCTAGATATAATCTATGAAAATTTATAGGTCATAAGAAGTGCCACAACACTATTGCTATTGATCAAACATTAATAATTATTATAATTTCATTGCTTTAATGGCTTAATGGTGGCATTATTATATCTTGATTTATACTCTAAAAACTTAAGTAATTACAATGTTGGTGTTTTATGGGAGAGCATCTCATGGCTAACCATACCAAACAAAGTAAATTTGTTGAATTAGAGACTTTTACTTGTAGAGCCTGTTTGGTTTGCAATTTCTTTGAAAAAAGAATTCGGAAAAGCTTATTAATCCACATGATAAAACTTGACATTCATAATAGGCTTCACATCAGAAGGCGTGTTGAATGGAAAAGTCCCACATGGAGCATATAACATTCACATGGTATGTGAGCCTAGGTTCCTTCCTAGAAAACCCATTGTTAATCCACCTGACAAGACTCAAAGTTAATACCGAGACTACATATAAGGTTGCACATTAAATCACATGACAAAACACAACATTCATAGTGGGCCTACATGTGAGGGTGTTTGTCGAGTGGTAAAATCTCACATAAAGTGTATAAAACATTGACAAAGCCGCACAACAAAATAGGTTGGCTTAGCTCATGAAATTAAATTTCCAAGTATGAAAATTGAGATGTAATATAATTTATTGTAATAGTTTGCTAATTGGTTACACTGGGCATATAATTGATTACAAAGAGTAAATAAGTGATTTTATATGATATAACCACTTATTTCTTCTTTATAATCAACTACTTCCCTCACTTTCTTGGCAAAAGTCCCAGCAAAAAATGATTTTAGGAAAAACTGCATATAATCAGTTACCAAACTATTATAATCAATTAGAGTACATCTCAATTTTCATGCTAAGAAATTTAATTTTGTGAACCAAGCCAAGCCATTTTGTTATGTGGCTTCGCCAAATTCTTTTTCTAGTTCCAGGGAAATCGCAAACCAAACAGGCCCGTAAGGTGGCACTACATTCTAACCATAGGTAGACACGTGGCACTCTTTCATTAATAGACTATTTATGTTGTAAACAATAGCACAACCATAATTAGACTTATGGTTATATTTACACGTCATAATGTCAAGGTCAATTATAATTAAACCGGTGATTATAAGTACACGCCATAATGTTAAAGTGATAATTAATTTAATTGTTAAAATTAATTGATAATTGATAAAATAAATGTTATTTATTATTTAATAAATTAAAATTAATTTATAAATTAATATTTTCAAGCTTAATAACTAATTATTTTAAAAAAAAAAAACTACAAATCAATAAAATATTTATCAAACTATATAATATCTATTTAATTTTAACAAAATAGTATCTGATGATAACCGTATTCCATAGCTGCATCCAAAGTCACAACTTAGAAAATAATCTCAAAAAATAAAAACTAAAAAAGTTACTTCTTCGGATGCATTTTGATGAGAGAATTACGAAAAGTAAATTGATAATTGAAACAATGCTCTCTTGGTCTCTTTACTCTCTGCACGATTTTCATGACTCAAACCCGCGTGATTTCTATTTTCTTAGATGAAAGTGATGACCATCAAGCTACTCAATCATTCAGATTAAATTGCTTACCTAATTTTTTTTTTTTATCAGCAATTGCTTACCTAATTAAATTTTCTATTTTCTAAATAACGGGGACAGTGGACATTTTACCAACCATGTACATATTGAAAAAAATCAGAAGGATTTAAAAATAAATAAATAAAGAAAATTCCTACATGAACGGTCATGAAACTAATTGTAACTTAAATTATAGTAGCTCCGCAGCTTAAAACTAGAAGAAACCGATCTCCATTAAGTTAATTTTCCTTAACTCAGAAATTAATTTTGTTTCAAGTTTTAACCCTTATTTATTGTTTTAAGAATATCCTCTACGTATTGATTTCCGAAGTGTCAACTTCAATTGATAATAACAGGAAAAATATCGATTTTATATCTTTGTTCGAATTCATCAAATCACCTTAATTTATAAACCTTACAAAACCAGCCCCAGAAGGACACTCAAACCACACAAGTTTTTGGTTGTCTCTCTCAGTATAAATACAGAGTCACAGAAGTTGTGAGCTCCAACCCACTTAACCTATTTTGATATCATCATAATGGGTTTGTTTTGTTTTGTGGCTGCTGTGTTTGTTCTTGGTTTGTGGCAACAGGTGCATGGGGAAATCAAGGAAAATCATGTAGTTGGGAAATGCAATATCTACGAGGGCAAATGGGTGTATGATACTTCGTATCCTCTTTACAATTCTTCAAGCTGTCCCTTCATCCTGCAGGAGTTTAATTGCCAGAAAAATGCTCGACCCGACCACCTATATCTCAAATATAGGTGGCAGCCAACTTCGTGCCATTTGCCCAGGTACGTAGCTGTATTCTTCCAAATCTATGTGGAGGTAGTATAGGAGTGTTTTTAGTGATAAATTTTGAAATCGTCTCTATAACTCATTACAATTATGATAGATTTTGAAAATTAATCGTAAATATACACGATAATAAAAATATTAGTCACTAAAAAGATATATCGTTATTGAAAATCAATAAAATTTTTATGGTGACCTTTTGTCCTAGTATATGTCAAATATTAGCCCAAAAAGTATGTAGAGTTTCTAAATAATTTTACTAAGTAATTTGTATTTTATTTTTAAAAACTTTTATCTTTATTATTTGAATATAAATTGATCAAAAGATGTTGTATTTTCTCAACCACAATCGTTTTATTTGATTGAAGAAGAGATGGGATTGCAATTGTGATAGATTTCAAAAATTAATCACGAATATACACATATTCAATGATGATAAAAATATTAGTCATTAAAAAGATATTTCAATCATTGAAAAACAATGAATCTTTAATGGTGAGCTTTTGTCCTAGTGTATGTCAAATATTAGCCCAAAAAGTATGTAGAGTTTCTCAACAATTTTTCTAAGTTGTGTTCTATTTTTAAAAAATTTTATCTTTATTACTAGAATATAAATTGATTAAAAGATACTGTATTTTCTCCATCACAAGTGTTTTATCTGATTGAAGAAGAGGTGAGATTACAAATGTAACATATTTCAAAAATCAGTCACAAATATGTACATATTCAATGATGATAAAAATATTAGTCACTAAAAAAATATTCTGACTTCAGAAAACAATAAAATTTTTATGGTGAGCTTTTGTCCCAATATATATCAAATATTAGCCCAAAAAGCATGTAGAGTTTCTCAACAATTTGTGTTCTCTTTTTAAAAAATTTTATCTTTATTATCCAAATATAAATTAATCAAAAGCTACTGTATTTTCTCAATCACAAGCATTTTATCTAATGGAAGAAAACGTGGGAATTATTGCAGGCTTCAAACACTTGTAAAATCTATCGGTAGGAAAGATAATGTCAAGAATGAAGTGAAGTACCTGTCCGTAGCTAAAAAAATTGACAGTGATTTTGTATTTTGTATAATGGTGTCCATGCAGTGGTCCATTTCTTACATAAAATAATGTTTTATTTTATTCTTGTTTTTCTCATGTAGGTTCAATGGAAAAGATTTATTGATAAGGATGAGAGGAAAACGTTTGATGTTTGTGGGGGACTCATTGAGTGCAAATCAATGGCAGTCGCTCACTTGTTTGCTTCATTCGGCCGTTCCTCGTGCCCCATACACCATAACAAGAATTGGAAGCATCTCCACATTCCACTTCCCTGTAACTGCATCTTTTTTTAATTAATCAATCAATTATATTTATGTGTTTAACCTAACTTCTGAAAATATATAATTTCTTTTGGCTACAAAAGTTATCGTGTCAAACGCAACTTTTTAATAGTTTGTATTAATTTGCAGACATACGGCGTGTTCATTATGTTCTCGCGCAATGCATTTTTGGTGGATATTGTGATACAGAATGGTGCCAGAATTCTTAAACTCAATTCAATTTCAGGCGGATTAATTTGGAACGGAGTCGACGTATTGATCTTTGACACATGGCATTGGTGGCTTCATACCGGAAGGAAACAGCCGTGAGCTTCTTAATTGTTGTTTTTCTTTGAGGCTTGGTGCTTAATTATAGTTGTTGATCCTTGAAGCTTTAGGTGATGTTCTAAAATCTTGTTTTAGAACTATTCTATCCTAACCTGAGCTAGTGTGGAGGTGATGCAGGTGGAATTTCGTGCAGTACTCTAGCAAAACATTCAAAGACATGAACCGAATGGTAGCCTATGAGAAAGCATTGACAACATGGGCTAGGTGGGTGAACTCGAATGTAAATCCTAATAAAACCAAGGTCTTCTTCCAGGGTGTTTCTCCAGACCACATGGAGTAAGTTGTCTTTCTCTTTAAAAAAAAAAAAAAAATTAAGGAAAGTTAATAGAAATATAGTTTTAATAGTTTGTCTTACACTATACTGTGTAATGTAGACTATTAAATAAGTGGAATATGATACAAGTCTTATTCATTTGAAAACTATGACATTGCAATTTGGTGCAAGGTAAACTGTAAAACATTATTTTCAAAATAATTAATTTAGAAACCTTATATAACTAAGGTTAAATGTTAAGTATGGTCCTTCAATTTTAAGGTTTTGTATAATTTTCATCATTTAACATTTTTTATGCACTTTTTTGATCCTTCAATTATGAAAAATACATTTTTTTAGTCTTTTCATCGATTAGTCTGTTAAATTTATCTAAATATGCATATTTTTAGTCCCACAACTTTTAATATATGCATATTTTTCGTCATTTTAAATTAAAGAACTCAAAATATATATATATATATATATTTAGATAAACTTATCAGATTAACTGATGGAAAGATTAAAAAAGTGCATTTTTCATAGTTGAAGAACAAAAAAAGCGCACAAAAAAGCTAAGGGATGAAAATTCTGCAAAATCTTAAAGTTGAAGGATCAAAATTGACATATAACCTATAATTAAAAATCCAATGCAAATTGGAGTCAAAATCCTTTTTGGCATAATCTCAGTTTTTACAAAAATTTTCTATATAAATCACTTCAAACAAGTATCAAACTGTATATGTGATTGACAAGGGGTTTTATTTTGTGGTTGATGAATGAGCTCAGCTCACGGGAATGGGCAGATCCAAGAGGAAAGACATGCACAGGAGAGATAGGACCGTTGCAAAGCAGGAGCTACCCTGGGGGTGCACATCCAGCTCAAGTTGTTCTAGAAAAAGTACTTCGTACAGTGAAAAAGCCAGTGCATTTACTGGATATAACGACGCTGTCACAACTGAGAAAGGACGGTCATCCAGCAACCTATGGCTACGGAGGCCGCCGTGGGATGGACTGTACCCACTGGTGCCTCCCTGGAGTTCCTGATATTTGGAATCAGCTCTTATATACTTCTCTAATTTGAAATTAACTTATGGAAGAATCAGTCGTTATTATTATATATGGAAATTTGCTTTTCAATACAAACTGTACTTTTTTTTATGCAATTTATATATTGAAATTATTTAAGTACCTTTAATAAAATTGCCCTCTAACTCTATATGTTCATCTATTAATGATGTTTTGATAATTTTAATATTGAAATTGTAAAAAAAAAAAGAGATACGATTTTTATTGAAAAAAACCTTTTTCTTATTATTATTAGAGTTACATATTTTATAATCTAAACTATGTTAGGAGCTCCTACTATCAAAGCACTCATCTCTATCTAACGATTAAAATTATGTAATCCAAAATAATCTGAATCATTATTATTATTGGGTGCAGACTTCATACAAAAGATTGTTCATTGTTTCATTTCGGAAATAATTACTGGCCAGCCCAAACAATCCTTAAGAATTGGATTAAAGCCGATTTTATCCCATGTACTCACTAATTTTGTTGGTTCTCTCCCTGCACTGTGAAATTGCTCATTGTTATCCCTCTACCATATGGTTTGTGTTCAATGTCATCCATGTACTTACGAAAAATTACGCACTCATCCCAATACCGTTTGTGTCAATGCAGTAACAACATCAGACATCTCCATTAACCCCAACATTAGCCTTCGAAATCTTTTACATATATATATATATATGTTTTTTTTCTCATTTTCAGCCAAGATATGTGAAACCCATGGCTTGAGTCTGATTTAATTTAACTCTCCATGCCTCCCTAACTCCCTGCACCCTCACTTTGGTAAACTCTTTGAAACCTCTTCAAATATGTAATTGCACCAAACCAGAAGTCCTTCTTCAGTTCACGTCTACACTCCGGATTGACCTGCAAAGCCCCGAGGTGGAACTCGAGGTAGACACTCCAATGCTTAAGTCAACAATAATCAAGGCTACCTTTAGAGTGAAGATAAAAGGAGCTTAAGGTTGGTTTCAATTACCTTTTTGACGTGGCCCCTGGGGGGTATTTATAAGCTTCAGTGAGGAACCCACGTGGCATGCCAAGCAAGATAATCGAAGTCTGACGTGTCTCTCCAGACAGTTATTTCGGGACGGGGAAATTGAGAGATGTTCAGATATGAGCATGTCCACCGTAACTGCTGTGCAACTTGTCATAAGGAATTAGGTGCGAGCATGCTTATTGTTGCTGTCATGCAGCTATTTGAGCAGGAAGTGTTGGGTTTATCCTTTACTTCAGTTATAAAGGAATTATTGCTGTACGTCCGAGGTTGGGCACCTCGGACCTATCCTTACAAAATAACAACAATAACACTCTATATTAGAGGTGTGGGTCAAAACCCCCCAACCATAGGAGTTCTCATTAGAGTAAATTCTTATTTAGGTATCAAGTAAATTAAATGGGTATTTTGTTTTCTATTCTATTAATTATTGAGTTCAAATCTCACTGGTGGAATTAAAAACCCAAAACCCTATAAGTACTTCCTGTTTTCCCAAAAACTATGAAGATTTTTTTAAAACAAGGTTAAACGCCAATTTTGGTCCCTCAACTTAAGGTTTTGCACAATTTCATCCCTTAACTTTTTTTTGCACAATTTCATCCCTTAACCTTTGTTTGCACTTTTTAATCCCTTAACAATGAAAAATGCACTTTCACTACTGCAGGAATGGTATATTCAGACCAAAAAATCGGTCCGGATATATTACCAATCGGTCTGAACATATATATATGGACCGATATTGGTCTTTATAGTTGATCTGAAAAAACCTGGTACCAATAAGTATAATATACAGACCGACGTATAATCGATCCGTATATATATATTATACGGACCGAAGTCGGTCCGGATATTTCAGTAAGAAATATAAATAATTATTGAGAAATTGAAATAAGCGGACCGAAATTGGTCCCAAAAAAATAATATAATAAAATAATAATATATATACGAACCGACAATGGTCTGTAACTGTGGCGGAAAGAGGCATCACAAATATATACGGACCGGGATTGGTCCGAATATTGAGGACCCAGCTGCAACTTTTAAAACTTGCAACTATGTCCAGACCGTTTTCGGTCCGAATATTGTGGACTTGCATGTAACTTTTAAAAGTTCCGTCTCCCAACAGGCGTCATTCTATAAATATATCCAGACCATTTTTGGTCCGAATATTGTGGACTTGCATGTAACTTTTAAAAGTTTCGTCTCCCAACAGGCGTCATTCTCAAACTATATCCAGACCGTTTTCGGTCCGAACATATTGGACTTTCTTGTAACTTTTAAAAGTTCCGTCTCCCAACAGGCGTTATTCTCAAACTATATCCAGACCGTTTTCGGTCTGAACATATTGGACTTGCTTGTAACTTTTAAAAGTTTCGTCTCCCAACAGGCGTTATTCTCAAACTATATCCAGACCGTTTTCGGTCTGAAATATTGGACTTGCTTGTAACTTTTAAAAGTTCCGTCTCCCAA